GGGCAAAACGCAAGGAAGAAGGCTACATGCAACCTTATCCAGACCGATCCTAGGCCGAAAACAACTACGGGTGGGCCCCAGTGTCCAATCAATTCAGGGATTCCCTGACGCAAATTTTCAGACCGAGATCGGTCCGGATAAGTATATACGGACCAATTCCGATCCGTATAATAAATTAATATATACGGTTTCAACATAATATATACGGACCGATTTCGGTCCGTATATTTTCATTAAAAATAATAATTCATTCCTAATTTTTGTTATTTAATATTTATTTTTTATGAAAATTAATAAATATACGGATCGAAATCGATCTGAATATAAAAATGATATATACAGACCATAGTCGGTCCGTATATATTTATTTAAATAATATTTTATTCATATTTTTTGTTATTTAATATTTATTTTTTTCAGAAATAATATTCGGACCATTTTCGGTCTGAATATTATTGGCGCTTTTATACTGTGGCTTTCCGTCAGAAATATACGGACTGATACCGATCCAAATATGTTGATTAGTATATGTTGTGCCACCTGAATATATTTGGACCGGTATTGGTTCAAATATTTATTTTTTCAGACCGACACTATTTGATCTATATATGTTCGGCCCGTATATGTCATTTTTCTAGTCGTGGAGGGCAAAAATCTACCAAGAGGTAAAAGCACAAATTAATCTACCGGTACCATTGGTCAAAAAGGAACCACCAGTCCAGCGTAGACTATTTATTTATTTCCTCAATCATTCCAAAATGCAAAAAAAGCACATATATTCATCAACTACCACAATGATTCCCCATCGAAAACAAAAAAACTACCACCACAATTGTCACGCCCCAGAACCCAAATCCGGGGACATGGCAGACGTCGTACACTCGTGAGACAGGTCCCACAAATGCACAAGGCTCGGAACTTATCACACCACAATCTGATACCATCAAAATCTGAAGATCAAATTATAAAATTTCTCCGATCATAAATCTCCAAATACACTCTAGCTTACAAGATCATGATTTATTTCTAAAATCTATATCAATCTCGAAACGGCTAGCTTTTTAACTCGTCACTTCCCGTGGTTTCCTCGTCCTCAATTTCACATCCTGAAATGGTGGACAAGGAAAAACTATGAGATAAACTCAGTAAGTAAATATGGAGTGCCCCTTATCAAACTTAAAGCATGCCAACAAGTACAATCACGAAAACAGATACAGTACGGGCACGAAATAGACGTCTCCTCTATAGGTCACGGCCAGTG